AGTCTTCTAGGTGATGTGGCGCGCCGCGTTTGGCTCCAGGACCCCATCTCAGCGGGAGCAGACACCTCTCTAACTTAAACATCTGCGTAAATGTTTGCTGTGTTAGTAATTTATCCCAGAATTAAAGCCACGTAGGCAGCTGGAGGGTACATCTACACAGCACGGTGTAGCCGAGTGGAAAGCAAGCTGGTTTACATGACAGAAGATATATAACTGAAGCAGCATAGCGAAGTAGTGTGACGTTAATAGAAAAGTTCCCACTAAGTGCAGCGAGCTTCAGATCACGTATCCGCAGAGGCACATGAAATGGAAGAAATGTCACAGTGAAAAGGCAAGCCAGCAGAACAAAATGTTTTCTTAGCTTTCTTAGCTTTTTTTCTTTTTTTTTTTTTTTTTCTCTGTACTGAACTTAGATTCCCATGAAATCTCTAAGGCAGATGCTGATCTTTTTTCTCATGCTCCCCTCTCTGTCAGAAACGCTATTGATTACAAAAGCTTTTTGTTTGGTTGGTTTTTCTTCTGCGTGAATTTGAGCTTTCAGTAATAAGGGGATTGGCAAAATCTGGATAGGAAGAAGACACTGACAAAAATAAGTGATGGAGAAACACAGCTAGATTTTCTTTTCTCAGGAAATCTATCTCTGTGAAAATAAACAAAAAACCCTACTAACCATTAACTATCAAAATAGTGCAGCAGATGCAATATTTTCTTCTTTAGGACTGTGGAAGATGGTTGTTCAACCTCTAAAAAGTATAAAAAGACAAGTTCATTGAACTAAATTGAGCTCATTGAATGCATCCAGACCTGATGGGGATCTGACCTAGTTTTGTGGAGGTGGTGGAAATATATGATACAAAGAAACTGAGTTCCATGAAGCAGAACTGGAGAAACGTGATGCTTTGTGCTGGCAGAAGAGAAGAAAGTGTTTGGGAAAAAGAATTTTTCCAGTAATTTATTTTTGCTTGTATTTTTTTTCTCATAAAGTCCTGAAACAAAGATGCTCCATCTTTTCTTTTAGAACAGAGAAAAGTGTAAATAGACTTTTATGCCATACATATATTTTCTAAATATCCTATTGGTACAACGTTTATGGTAGATCTGTCTGATATCAGAATTTACATGTGGTTCCTAATCTATTGTTTCAAAGTGCTTGTCTTAAAGCTATTGAAAAGAACAAATTTATTTCATCAGTTTAAAAGAAAAAAACAGCTTTCAAATAGAACAAGACAAGAAAAAATAATTTAACAATAGTTTATGGTCAAGGTAAATGTATTAATTGTAATCAATATTCCGGAAAAGTAACATCTGTTTATAAAAGACATGCAACAGTTTAGTGAGAGATATTACCCAAGGTATTCTATTCTATGGAATTGGCTTAGTATCAGAAGAAAGACAGATTCACTGTGGAAAAGTTAATGCCCAAATTATTTCTGACATATTGCCTTGATCAGAAAAGGGTTTCTCTCCTTAATCAGAGAGCCTAAACTCTTTGGTACAGAAAGTAGCCATAGATGTGTTTTTTGTACTTTTTTTTATTAAACACACACACACACACACACACACACACACTTTCTTACCTAAAAAGCCTTACTTGATTTTTTGTTTGTTTGTTTTTGTTCCAGGAGAGGTTAACACAAAACATTCTCAAGGAAACATTTTATCTCCTTTGAGGGAATATATTGCATGTTTCATTTTGAATTCTTCTAAAAAACAGGTAGCTTTGAAGAAATTTGCTACTTGCATTTTGTCATTTACTCCCCACATTTAAGAATTTCTGGGCCACAAAAAAAATGCCTATTTCCAAAAGAAAATAAAAGCGTGAAGATGGGAGTGAGCTGAGGTATCAGGGAGACCATATGTTGATTTTAATATACAGTTTTGAGGGTGAGAGGGAAAGGAACATGAAGAAGAAATTGCATCTTTGCTAACTGGACAACCACGAGAGAGAAGACCTGTTCTGGGCTGTTGGGTTTTTTTCCTTCCTTGAAAGAAGCTATTCAGCTCCGCAGAGGAAATAAACCTGGCTCAGTTTGTAAATGCAAAAGCAGATTGCAGCCAGGAATCATTTGCAAGAGTGATTAACGAAACCAGTTTGCTTTGCTAGATTTCCATGAAGGTAAAAACGTATGCATGTAGTTTTGACACAATTAAATGATGCATCCTTACAGTTACATGGGAAAAAGGAGTTAGCACTGCTCCTTTAAAAGGGTGTCTCATTACGGCATGCTTATTGTCTTCTCAGCAGAAATAGCGTTTAAATACAGTGAGCAATGCCCAAATGAAGGAAGTAATTCTGAGCAAGCAGTGGAAGTAACGGGCCCAGTTTCCTGAAATGAGGTGAAGATAGTTCTGCAATATTTACCCACGATGATGTTCATTTATTCAGTACTGAAGTTAAAGAGAGAGAGTGGATGCTTGCATGTGCTATTAAACATGTAATGTGGAAAGTAGAATAGACTCAAAAGCTGCAGATGACCTGAAATCTCACAAGCAGTAACAGCACAAAGAAAGGGCACTCTCAGTAGCAGCAAGTGTTGATATAAGGGCTTAATTTATGTCTTAAGACTTCTGCTGGTAGTGGTGCAAGGCATACTGAGGAAAGAAAGTCAGAACATTTTAAATTGCAGATGTAGACTTCAATCCGAGCAGGAATTCTAAATCCAGGTTATCAGAACAAAGCGAACATACATTCGAGAAAGCAAAGTATACAATAACCCACTGTCAAATTTCCTTTAAGATATGCCTTTCCTTCTTAGATTATATACACTTTCGGCCCTCGTTAAACAAACAAAAATGTAATATCGACAGCTAAAAAACCCACCTAAATAATACCCTTGTTGAAGAGAAGGGCATTAAGCCAAAGGATCTTTTCACTTCTTATATTTATTTCCAAAAATTTTACAAATGCTATGCAAGGTAGTAACTGTTCACTGCCTCTGTTACATTGCCACCCCCATCGCAGACATAAGTATTCAGATGATATGTACAACAGACTGGGTGGACGGCTAATATTATTCCTTCTGTACCACATCAGTGTGCATGTCTAAAGCAATACTTTCTAAAGCTAGATCTATTATTTTAACTGAGACAGCAAAAAAGAGCAGTTCTAGGCACCATCATGGGCACCTATTTGCTGTAAAAGGGTTGATACAATAATGATACCCTGACAAACAACTGATTTTAAATGATAAGTTTAAAGGTTTAAGTGCAATCATACAAAAGGAATACACCTGGCGGACCCTGTTACCCAGCAATACATACTTTCTCCCCATTGCTAAACACACATAATATTTAACCTTTTCTTGTCATCGCAGTGCTCATATCTCTTCTACTCAAATTGCTACGGAGAGATGAAACTTGATCACAAGCAAGGTTTGGAACATACTTTAAAAAATCATAGGTCACTTGTACAGCATTTATTTTTTTCTTGATACTGTCTTCTTTTCATATCTTTGCTTGATGCAGTAATCTGTGAAGAAAACCCACTCTAATAACTCCAAGGGAAAGGCACCAAGGAACTGAACTGTGTGCTTCTGTTGGTTTTCAGAAAACGTTATGAGTTTGTTAAGAAACTGGAACATTTTATAAAGTGATAGCACAAACGTAGTAACTCTGAGACTGAGAATTCACACTCCCAACCTGAGATCACCATGGTTGCCAGTAAGTTTTTCCTAAACTAGCTAAAGGGGGGGGAAAAAAAAGATGTTAATGAGTAAATAGCAAGAAAGAGGGAAGACAGCTATTTAACTTGCTGAATAGAGGAAATTAGCATTAGCTGTTATGTTCAACTTTACCCAGCAAACGTGAAACTTTTACATAAGCCTAGCAAAGGGCTAGCAAAAGGTTTAATTAATAATGTAACCCTACTTAAAGTACTTTCAAGTGCTATATGGAATTTTTAAGAGCCTTTTTATTGGCTCTCAGTATAAAGTGGAATTTTATTTCAAAACTGGTGGTAAGTAGCATGACAGCTGAAAAATATCTAGAAACGTGGCTCAAAATAGCTTAGTATCTTCCCGTATGCCAATTCAACCTTATGCCAATTTAATAACACATCACACTATTATTATGGATATGTTTTCATAATTAACCTTTGTCTGTACTTAATATCATCCTTAAGCTAGCATGTAATAGATGAAGAGGGAGATTCATTTTTCTTATTTTAAAGCTGTACCAATTATTTTCATTGAAATTGCAAGATAGTATATGTGGGGAAGATATCAGATATCCCTCCTGTGAAGCACCACAACAGCGGTGGTGCTGCTGATAGAAAATTACCTTTAAATACTTGTTTTAAAGGTTTATATATATCACATATTTGTATGTAGGTTTGTCTGTATTATATGCAATCACACAAAAGAAACAGATCTCCCATATCCTTACTTATCTAAGAGTTGAACTTTCAGGCGAAACTACTTGCATAGCCTGCCTCCATAGTCAACAGAGAGAAATAGGTCTTAGATGTCTGTTATAGACTGCGATGACTCTGGGCGTGCTCCTTTTCCTCTGTTTTCACAATAGAAGCAGCAATCTAGCCTTAGACCGCACGCCCAGCTATGCTGGTTACAAATAAAGGATATGAATCCCTAAGTGACACAGAATGTATTTGCTGTGTCAAAACTACTAAAAGAGGCAAGAACTTGGAAAATGCCACTATTAGATACCAAAAGACATCTGTTTTGAGGCTATTTTGATTTCATCTTTCCAGGATAGCTAAAAGGAAAAATGGAAAAGATAGATATACCCAAAAGGAATTATTTTATGAAATCAACACTTCTAGACTTTTATGTTATATAGCCAATTTTGCTTCCACTAAAGGGAACAGAATTTTTATAGTTTTCATCTCCAAGGGCCGGATTAAGCCCCTTGTCCTACTTTATCTGAAAAGCTGGTAGAGCAGTGGAGACACTACAATTGACTTCTCTTAATGTAAACAATATGACAATGAAATTACTTAATTTGTTTTCATCGTAATTCATCTATATTTTCCACCTGTTTTTTTGGAAACTGTTATATTGTGCCATTTGAGGATGTAGCACTTTTCTTCAGCTCATATTACATGATCTGTATTAGTATTGATAATTTAACACTTATCAAATTATTGCTTAACATAAAACTGCAACGTTAACCTGAGATGAAAGCAGTAAGTAATATCATTTCCATCAGAATCTCTGAAATGCTTCACAATGAAAACCAGTTGCATCTCCAATTTGGAGGATCCTTGCCATGTTTTGTTTTCTTTCATGGTTTTCCAAGATGAAATATTTTCTAAATTGTTACAATTTGCTGTTTATTTCTCTTTTAATAATTCAATAAAGAACAGGATCCCAATTTTTCTTAAAAAAAGCAAAAACATTAATGCCTAACAAGAAAATACTGAGCAGATAGTAAAACAGTATCATGTTAGAATACATTGATGTAAACACAATACATTCATATAGCACCTTAGCAAATTCTCTTCATCATGGTAAATATAGTACAAAGAAGATATGATAAAATTGTGTTGCCTGACAGCTACAATCTTTTGGGTTTGTAAAGTATCCTGCACTAAATTAAGGGCTCAGTTCTTCTTCTTTTAACTCACAGTGAGTAATATTTTACTTCCCAAGAGGTCTCAAAGTCAAAGGGATTACACTATATGAAGAAAGATAGAAGAAAAACTGGCTTTCAGTTAAAAGAAAAAAAAGAAAAAAAGCCCAGGGACATTGTACAGTAAGGACTTCCAAACAGTGCCAATAGGAACTATATACGCCTATTCAGCAAAGAATAGATCCATGAGTGTTCAGACCACAGTATAATGCTTTTAAATGGTTCCATATTGGAATTTCAGTATGAAAATATTCACGTTCACTCCGCAAATGAACACAACAAATACATACTAATAGAAACAGAAACAACTGTACACTAGTGAACAGGTAGATTTTTGTGATGCTGCCAGTCTTTTCTTCATCGGTAGTGTTATTAAAAAAGAAACTCCAAAAGTATTGGGAAGTATCAGTGAACATAGACACTTCTGATTAAATATTCCCCATTCTGAAGGATGGTCACTTTTACCAACACATAGTAAGAAGCTATCATCTTCTTTGATCTTTTTCTGAAATTTGTCTGAAAAACAGTTACCATTAACTTATGGCATTATTTTTTTTCTATTTTACAAAATTTGGCATCCATTTTCATAAGGATGACTTGGACAAAATATATATTCAGTGGAGTGGGAACTGGAATCTGAACAGTTGGGTGAGTACTCAAACTACCAGACTACAGAACCACATTCTGGCTTCTTTTTCTTTAACAATTTTTTTGCAAACCAGCTCAAATTCAAAAACATGAGTAGCGAGTGTCTCTCATTCCCAGCACATTCTGGCATCCACTCATGAAAAGCTAACTTTGAGGGCATACTCGTGGCGTTTGTGAGTTTGACCCTCTCAGACTGGAAACAGCCTGAAACCATACAAGAACATTCACTTCTAAGCTGGTACAGCAGATGGGACTGCCTACTACTGCTGTTTTCAAAGGTAAAGCAGTTGCATTCAGCTCTGAGAGGAATTGGTTGTAGGCAATTTGAGTCTTGCTGCATTCAGCAGAGGACTATAGGTCATAATCACAGGAGTTCAGTCTCCTGTGTCCTGGGACTCGACATGTCCAAGGGGCTGCACCAAGCAGCTCCCTGCTCAGCTGACGCATTGAGCTCCTCCCAGCTGCGAACAGCAAGTCTGAATGCCAGTGTCTAGATTCCAGTCTGAAATTTCCCTTCTGAAGGACTGTTATGTAGAACATAATTGCAAATTAGCTTGTTTACTATAAACACAGCAAAAACATATTTCATTAGTGAGAAATGTCTTTGCACAGCTGAACTGATTTTTTTTATTTACAGTTCAAAAATACCATTTAAATTATTTCAGGCTTATGTTGAGAGCGCTTAATTTGTTCTAACCATTCATGCTGTGTATGGTTTTGATTATATGAACATTTTAAGCCTTGGGATAGTGTATATCTTCCATGTCAAGTCAGAAGACAGGTTTGGAAACGCTGCTTTTTTGAATAAAAAGAAAGGTAATTTCTATATTCTTAGTTATATTTGCTTTCACACTAACAGTTAATGATCAAGCAAAGGAAAAATAAAAAAAGAATGGCAGTTCATTTAAAAAGTAGTGTTGACTAATGAATAACTATCACCTAACTGGTTGCTCTTAACGAGCATATCGTTCATATGTATTTATAGCCATTTTAGCCTATACTTTTCATTAAAAAAGCAATATATTTCTTTTCAGCTTGAACATCTACATTCCTTTTAAGATATCTTATCTTTACCAAAATTAGAGATTAAGAGGGGTATTAAGGAACAAAGAAACAAAGACTCTTCCTTCAGAAGAGGATACTTTTTTGAATTTCGTGGAAGCATTTACTAGAAGATTTATTTTAAAATGTATGCTACCTCTGTATAGCGGGATTTGCCAAACCTCGATCTGAATTTAGCAGGATTTATGAGTCAGGAAAAGCAATTAGACTGCTGTTTTGTGTAGACTTTTGAAAAATTTACCCTTGTGAAATAGCCACATCAGGTTTGGGTGTACAGAGCACAGTACTTAGTTCACTCTTGGTCAGTGCAGGCATTCTTGAAATTTAATGCTTGCCTCCAGGTTTAACTAAAACCCATACATGCAATTAGGTGATAACCACAGTATTCATGAGATCAGTAATATGTTCATCTGTGTCACACGACACTTATGGATTTCGCAGTATCTACTGAAAGAGTCTGGAGGATTTCTTAAAGAAAAAAATGTTATAGATTATGCTAACCCAAATGTATGTGTATAATATAAATCATATAGCTATATAACCTCCCTCTGTGATACACTAAAAGCTCAGAGCTGACACGGAAATCATTAGGACTAAGGGAACTTTTCAGCTTATTGGCTCAAGCCAGGCAAAATAAACTTACAGAAAATAACCAGAGGCAGTGGAAAAATGGAAAAATGTTAATATGAAATTAACATGATCAGAACTAGAAAACTATGGAAGAAATTACAACTAATTCAGAAACATCGAATTTTCATTAAATCAAGATTTTACATTTTGCATACTATGGGGAAGATTTTTCACAGCGCTGTTGCCCAGAGATCAGCCAGGAAAGAGTGATGATTACCTTCATTTCCAATTGCTTAACCTGGTACACTTTGCACTTGTATCATTTATGGATTGGACATAAAATACAGAAGGAATAATGGTACTCCGAAAAGTATGCTGAAGTATTCAGCTGTTTGGCTATTTCTCACGGGGAGTTCTGTATATGTTGGGAGAACTGAAAATGTTGAAGCTGAGATCTGTTAAGATGTGCATCTAAGAGAACAGTGTTGTCCTTGACATGCCTGGATTTGATAGTGACATCCATATTCAAGCAGAATGCTTGCTTACTATGAGGCATTTTGTCTGAACAAGGAGAGTAAATTGGGCCCCTAAGTAACACTGAATCCAAGTAGTGCCTCACTTCAGAGAAAACACTCAGGAAGAGAAGTAAAGCATATTTGTTGAGACAGAATAATAGATACAATTATCTATTTTTTACATAGTTGTCATGTCAGATTTATAATTTTACATACATTCCCTTTTGAAAAGAAGATGCAATGATTAGCCACACTATTTTCTTATAGTGTTCCGAATATAACTGCCAGTTTCAGGATGAACTTCCTTATCACAACTGCCTTTAAGAGAAACACATCACCAACCACTGTACAAATGCATAAAGTTTTACATTTATGTGTGCATAAGCTGGAATCCACTTTCTTTTCACAACATACCAGTCATAGCTTTAAACCTTTTGGTAATGATAAGGATGTTTTATTTTGTTTTGTTTTGTCCAGCAGATCTCCCTAAAAGAGCAATGATAATAAAAAAGGGGTTCAAGATCTCAAGAGAGGTTTGAGAACTTTGCATTTCCTATAAAATTCAAACTTTTCAACAAATGAGTGTTTGTATATTGCCTGACCAGTCTAGTAAAAAATAAATTGCTTTGTTTGTTTTATGATTTCCTCAGAATTTCTGCGTCCTCAGTAAAGACCTGGAAGTCAGTCAGTTTTTCTGAGGAATGGCACCAACTGGGAACCGGGTGATCATACTCATTCTATACCTCCTCAGGTGGCTTTGCTTTACTGATTTGGTGTTTGAGAAGTCCAAATGCTAATGCTCCTAATGATCAGCCATTCTTTTTGACTTTTGGTAACAAGTATTCTCATGCAGTTAATATCAAACAGAACTTTGTGCTCTACATCTGTTATTTCAAAGTTTCCATTTCTGAATTCCCCTAGTCTCAGGTAAGTAGTACATTGCCTCCCTTTTTTACTCCCTACAATCTTTTCCCCCACTTCCAAGGCCCCATGATGCAAAATGTCATTTTGCCGGTCTTCAGTTCCAGTGACAACTTTAATTTTACTGATTTTAATGGGCTTTTCAAATACAATCCCATAGAAGTCTCCAGTAGAAGGAGCTTTGCCCCAGAAGTACTCATCAATGCTGCTGTAAGCCTTGCTTGCCTCATAGTTTTCAAATACATTCATGTTGGTTTGCAGATTTGCAGGTGGGTTATCAGGGATATCAAATGATTCCTCTTCAAAATCATCGTCCTTTAGCTTGTTTTCAGCTCCTTTGTAAGATGAGTAGTACCCCATGTGCTGAAACAGAGATGGCTTAAAACGTATCACTTCCTTTTGAGCTAGCAGCCCACGAAAGTGGATCAGGAGCCAATCACAAGGCATTTCTTGGTAAAACATCAACAAAAAATGGGCCAAGCGTGGGAGGTCATGGGAATGGTAAAGCTTTCCAATATACCCCAATTTGGAGAATTCCAAAGTCACCCAATAGGATCCTTCTCGTGAGGTAATTACTTTCTTAACAGCAGTCAAAAAGTTCTTTGAGCAGCGAACATCGTCTTCTAACATCACATAATAGTCAGAAAGATTAGCACAAAAGTTAAGCAGGAAAGCATAATCTACATTTTGTTTGGATCGAAACTTCACCCGGTCTTCTGGGTCATTGTAATTTCTCTTGAGGCCATCCAGAACTGGATAGTACTCCTCAGGGACGTGAATAACTATTAATCTGCCCGCAATTATGTGATGAGCAAATTTCTGTGAAATATCCTGGACCATTCCTTCGCACCAGGCTGAATCAAAATCCGCTAGCTGCACTACCACTGCAATTTCTTTAAGTTCCTCATAACTTGACTGCTCAAATATGGACTTGATAGTCTCAAGCAAGTAATTTCCCTTTTTCCGTTTCACAGAGGACAGCCCAATTGTAAGATACCCTGTACAAAAGAGAAGTCAAACATAAACTGAGTATTTGACATTGGAAACCATCTAGCCACAAAGCTCCCCTCTGGGGCGGTACTTATATTAAATAAACCCTTTGAATGGTGAAGTCTGAGAAGTCTGGTATGTGAACTTATTAAACTGTATGCAACAAAGGATATTTATTGCCTTTTCATGAAAGAAGAATTGTATTGCAAGCAAATAGACATATGGAGACTATTGCATTGAACATTCATTTGTTAACTGCAAGGAATGGTGTGAGATGGACAAAAGCCAAAGCAATGTGCACATATATGCCTGGTAGAGGAAAAATCCATTTAGACAATGCTGAAGGCTATAAAATCTGCTAAAAGAAAGGGGATTGTGAGTTATGATTCACACAATATTTTTAACTTAACTGTGAAATACAGCACAAAAATGTGAGCTAAAGATTAATTGTCAAACTTTGATAATTTTAAGGACTGTACAAGACTACACTTACACCTAACTTACACCTAACATTTTATAAATGTTGCATGGATAATTTCTTCTTGCATTTTCATCTTTAACTGAATTTGTCCAATTTTTCCTTGCTAATAATATTTCTTCTCCTAACCTCCTTTCAGGACTCAATGAGCAATGTACAGGGAACTCCCTCTTGCAAGCAATAATTTAGATATCATTTTAAACTGGAAGAGAGCATACTACTGCATATCTTTATTTCTGTAAGTAATTTTTAATGCTGTTAACGTTTTCTTGGGAAGGGCTATATCTTAATTATATGGGGCTAATTTTTATATATGCTGTTTTGGAGTCACTACCACTGCATTATTACCAGCAGCCCAAACCAGTTCTTCCAGATGTTTGTTAATATGTCTCAATTTTCGGAGATCTTCTATGAAGATCAACAGCTCACGGATGGTCTTATTTTATCATCGGTGTCGGACTTCTGAGTCTTGTTTATGTTTGTGAAGTAATTGATTTGGAACTAAAAGGACACCTGCCTAAAAGCTAGGTATGGCCATCCTTTACAACAGGCTGAAAGTCTTGAATCCTGCCTGAAGTCAAAATAATGAGCTGTTCCTTTTGCAGGTGGCTTGGAGACAAAAACCTCCTCTATCACCCCCTTAACATCACAATTCCTCTCCCCCATCATCACAGCTAAAGGAATAATGAGGTCCATCCACAGCTGCTGGAATGACACAACAGAGGACCAGAAGGACATATCTACCTTGCCCGGTCCCAAAGGTACCTTCAACTGGATTTACTTATTGTATAGGCAGAGGCTGAGACTGCGGTCTCAGAAGGCTATTGAGCACCACCAGAGCATGCATAGCTCCTGCTGCCTGAATATTAGCCAAGGGGTGATCTACAAAGCGTAGACACAGGCCGTACAGGGGCTGTTTGTGGGAAGACCATGAGTCAGGCAAGTGGTCAGAAAGTGAACAGGCTGGGTGTCATTCACTGCTAGGGCTGAATTTTGCATCTACCCATGGACTGCCATCCAGAGACAGCTGTGCCACTAAGCTTTCCAAGACCTTCACTGTTTAGCTGAGCCCCTCCTGCACAGAAATACCACAGGAACTATATAGATTTCACCCATTTTTTAATTACCTCATTTCATAACATTCAGATTGCAGTTACTTACTTTTCCTTGGCAAAGGCGTGCCAGCTAGGTAGCGATAGGAAATGTTTATAGATCCTGAGAAATTGGACAAATCTTTAAAAGTGTGAACATAGCGCTCTGGGTTAAGCTGGTGCGTGGCTGTTTCTCTGATTAATTGCTTGTCCCCTTCCTATTAGTGAGAAAACAAAAAGAATAGGAGAGGGAAAGAGACAGAGAGAAACACATTTGGAAATGCCAGCCAGAGAGAAAACAGGGACAGGCAGGTTTCCAAGAATAACATTTTTCAGTGTCAGCTTTCTTGAAAGCATGTAGATGACTCCTCATTTTTTTTAAAACCCATTACTGAATATCATACATTTTTGGTTACAGGAAATCTACCATAACCCTTCAGATTACGGTAAGAGGAAAAGAAAAAAATTTTGGACAAAGGCTCTGGAAATCCTATTTTCTGGAAGGACTGAGAACATCAAATTGATGCCAAAAAATATTGCAGTGTTCAATATAAGGATAGCAGAGCATCATTCAGCATCGGACCACATAATCTTCATAGATGGTGCAGTGGGGAAGATTTTTTGAAAGTGTTTTTAGTGATGTTAAAAAATAGCTGTTGCAAAGGAAACATGAAACTGTGCCCTGACATCTGGCTCATTTTGCCTCTTTCCTGAGTAGCAAACTGCCACTTTCCAAATTAAATTAATGAGCAGAAGTGCACGTGCTTATCCGGATAGCCAAAGCCTTCACTAGATTTGGCAACACTGGTGGTATAGAAAAAGGTAAGTTTATCGCCAGGCCTCCTCTCCCTGTCTTTTGTCTTCCTAGAGACTACGCCAGTTGCAGTGAAGTTGCTTAGGGAATGGGGAGGCTGTCAGCACTGCCCTATCATTAAGCTCACAGAAGTCTCAAGAAAAATCTGTCCCTCAGCCCTTCAGCAAGGAGAAAATATCCAACAGGTTGCAGTGTCATGGGACTGAAGTTAAAGGTAAGAATGCTCATTTAATTTACACTGTTTGATGCAAGTCTCTGACGACAGGCCACTGTACAAATGAGTTTCTTTCATCTGCTTCAACATGTTAATACATTAAAAACTTCCCAACCTGTCATTAAATGAGAGCGCTGTGCAGTAAACAGTGCTGCTGCTAACAAGAGCAACCATTCAAATAGAAACAGCATTCATTTTTTACTGTATAAATATTCAAAAGCAAAAACGTATCAAGACATGTATTTTATGGTACAAAGAAACATTCCTGTAAACGATCCTAGGTTCATTCCAAGTTCATTATTTTTCTTCCGTAGCAGTAGTAAATAATCCACTTCTGAGCTCAGTCAAGATCTTTGGCTAACATTCAAGGGCGTCTACCTGCTCTATTATGCTCTCTTGATCCGTAAGGTCTCTCTGAATAATTTCTTTCTAGTGCTCCTACGCTAGTTTGCATTTGCTTATGAGATGAAGGTTTATGTTGATCAGATTCCAGACTAAAATGTCAGTCAATGGCCAACAAAAGACTGGAAACCCATGTTGTTGAGGTTTTTCTATATAAAAAATTATAAAATGTTTAGAAAAAGAGAATGTCAGGACAAAGTGTTTTGATTTTAATAAAAAAAATGTTTGAACTGATCACAAATATTTTTCTTTTCTTTTCCTTTTTAAGAAATGCCTTTTGTGGGTAATAACTCCTTTTTTTTTGCTTGTTTGTTTGTTTTTATTCCTTTTTAGAATGGAAAACAAAACTAAAATATAGAATTTTCCATACATTTAAAAAACCTCATTTTTCTCTCTCTGATTACTGTGCAGAGGTCCATGAAGCTGAAACACTTGATCAGCTTTCTTTAGCTCTCTTCTCTAATTTTTTCTATCTTAGTTCTTGATTTCCTCTATTAATTAACTACTAACTTATATTCTGTTGTTTTCTGGAATTTGGGAAGCTCCTGAGGGTGTTGCAGGGGCTAGGAGTGCTCCATCCTTTACAGAGATATTCTGCTCCACTAAAGTTGCTGTGTCACCTACAATGCTGCTACTGTTTTCATATAGCCCAAAATAATTAGTACTCATAGAAGTGTTAGGAAAGCATGCTGCACTTACCCTTCACTTACAAGTCAGAATATGCATGAAAAATCACTGCCAATTATATAGAAGTAATGATCTAGCTTATATTAATTCAGTATGTCTTCAAAATGTTTGATCAGATGTGATAACGCGCACTGCAGAGGAAGCATCCTAAGCTGCCCTGCTCACATACCTACAGCAGCACTACATACCATCTACCAAAGATACTTAAGAAATTTTCCCCTGTGAACCCTTACTTTCCAGTCCCACAACAAATGCCCTGTAGGAAAGACTGAAAGGATACCTGAGACGTGTGAGAGTTTCTAAATGAAAAGAGAAAGTTCTCCTCTCTCTTCTGAAGATTTGCCACAATGCATCTCACTTTTTCAGCCTGATTTTCCTGAAAAAGCTATGCATTTCATCTCACATCTGGAGAAAGAGATGCCAGCCCCCCCCATCCCTTTGTACGGTTTGTTGTCTGAGACCGGGAAGAGAAGCTCTGGGGCTAAGTACACCCTTCTTCTTTGCATTACCAGATATTCCAGCAGGAGACTAATTGTAGTTAGAAAGTCAGAGGGCCTTCAGGGCTCTGAAGACTTTCAAATTTCCTTTTTTTGGAGGGGATAGCCTGCTGTCCCTGAAGGGCGTACTCGAGAATACATCTCCTCGCCACTGACACTGAAACTGCTTATCTTTTACCTTAGTAAAGGAAACACACCAGGCAGGGTAACAGAGCTGTCAGACATGGTCAGGGAAGTTGAAAGTAAAAATAAATAAATAAACTAAAAAGTCAACACCCTAAAACATTTGAAAAATGCTTGATGGACCGTAAAGGTATCAAGAGATCTGGGAGAACTGTCAGGAGATTTGGCAAGAGACTTGGCTGAGAGCTACATGAACGCAAACATGCCAGAACTGTGATGAGAGAAGCAGTGAAAGAAAGTGAATTCTAAAACAGGAAAAAAAGAGCAAATTAGGAATAAGACATGGAGCCAGCTGGGGAGCTGGCAAACAGGATGGGAAAAGATTTAAAAAACAAATCGAGAGGAACACCATTAGCAGTGATAATAAAAGCACTTTCAGAAACATCTGGGAGACTTTGAAGCAATCAGTGATAGAAGAAGAAGCAGGGAGAATGCCATTGGGAAAAATATATGTGGTAAGTCAGGTCAAATTTGATCACAACTAAGAAATGATGAATTAATAAAACATGGTGCAAAACCTTAGTGCAAGTACTGTTAGAGAAAGCAACATATCTGTAATGGAGTAATATGATAAAAGCATGGATTTTCTTTTGAATTATTTAAGAAACACTAGGATAGCCTTAATAATATTTACAATTTAGACAATATTGTTAGAACTAATGTTACGAGTAAAATATATTTGTTTCAGGTCAAGTTATCTATCATTCTGCTAAATTCATTTAAGGATTTTACTATTTACGTATTATGCATTTCTTACATTATGATGCTGCTTTTCAGACCCAACTGAAATCAAACTTCACCTTCCAGAGTATTGGAAAGTCCATATTGCCCCAATTAGATATGTCAGGCACATAAGAGGGTGATACAGAGGATCAGAAAGCCAATCAGTAGTTCAATTCAAGATCTAGAAAAAGTACTGTCTAATCTTATCACAGTTTTGCATATGTAATTTAGTCATTTGACTATTTGCAAGTTCCAGTTATTAAGCAACCATATCTTTTTACTGGGCCCAGTTCAACTTTCAATGGCCTGGAAGTTCAACACATTAACCAATACAAGAGAACCTCCTTGGTATTCAGCAGTGATACTCCTATAGGTTATATATAAACTGCAGGGTTATAGTACCTTGTTGATAGCCTATTATTGAGAATCCTAACTCAGATCTTTCAATAAATCTTTGTTAAAATCATAAGATAACACTATACACCATTTAGATCGAATTCTTAACTTTGTAGTACTGAACTTGCCAGACTTCAATCTGGAACACAGAACATGACAAAAACACAGAATAAAAGCACTGAAAAGAACTTATTCATGCAAGGAGCTTAAAATAATATGGTAAGTGGTGTAAATTCTCTTCTATAACTATATTTTTATAATCTTGCTTAATACAATATTCACAGGTGAGGTATTTGCAGTCTGGACTGAAAATGGAGCTCCTAGTCATGTGAATATTCCAGATGTAGATAATTTTATCATTAAAATTGAGAGAAATTCAGAAGCATGCGAAATACAGAAAATGTTTTGACTCAAAGGAAGATATCTAATAGAGATAGCTGAGTGTTTTTCTACATTCATTACCTATTCTCCCATACTTGCAATAAATAATGCTATATTTTACTTCTGTAAAAAGGACTGTTAGGAACTTACTGCCACACTCTGTGTATTGTATATAATGATAAGATGGATTGGTCATAAAGGGCATGTTTTGAGGAAACTCCACTGCCAATGGTACACTAGCTGTGGGAAATTACAGGAATTATGATCTCAGCTGCTTCACTGAGGATGTATCCTGTTCTATTTGTTTGTTCCAGTGTCTAAGAAACTTACCAAAACATAACCATCTTCAATATATAAGTTCATGAACAGCAAGCAAATGACAAGGACTCCTAAGAATGATACTGCCGATCGTTTCCGCAAGCATCTCATTTTATCAAAATATTTCAAGTGGTGTCTCATGTGAAGAAGGGCATACAGCAGTGTCACCTGTGAAAGAAAACCAGTGTTACAATAAATGTTCAACTATCTAATAATTATGATCATACATCAACTTACCTTCAGATTTATCAAATCCCTTCAAGCATTTATAGAACATATGGATTTCATTTCATCTAAACATGGTCATCTTCAGGTGAAACATGTAGTCCTAATTATAATTTAGGCACTCTTCTTTGTCAATAAATAAAAAGCATGATTCCTCTTAGTCATTTCATGCTGAGATGAAACTATGTGGTCCTGCCATTGGTCCATTATGTGCACCAGCAATCCAGTTCCCCATGTACAACTTCATCACATCCCAACTCGATGGCAGAAGATGCATCCTTTACCTGTGCATCTGGATTTCCTTCCAAATAGAGGAAGAAGATATTGTATGACCCTATACCCTCACCAGTTAGAAAAGCCTGGATATCAGAACTAAGGGGGGCATATGAGGTTGACCCTCCCTGCACAGAGGATGGAAGTGGGTGCTTATCCCAGCACTAAGCCTGTGGACCATCCATCAGCCTTAGACGTCTGCACCACAGTGGAATGAGTCTCTCTGGAGGAGCCATTTTCTCCACTGAGTTTAGATGAGAGATTGATCACTACCTTAGACTGGACACATCTAAGCAGCTACAGTTAAGCAAGACAAATCGCATTCTCAGCAATCAAATCATAAGCATTAAGCTGTGTTTAAACAAGATACGGCCATAAATTAAATAAATAAATAAAGAAATAAATAAATAAAACCAAAAGAGATTCCAGATCAGACTGCCAAAATTCCGAGGGATTCTGAACTGAAAAGTAGATTAAAAACTTTTCACTTATATTCTTATTTGCTTTAAATACAAAAGCATTATGGCTATTGCCCATAACAATGTCTGATTTGTCTATGAAATGTAATATAGTGAATACATATATGAATAGAAACCTTAAAGCTCTGCTAACCAATGTAAAGTAGCAAATAGCACTGCATGGCACTGCATGTGCAATGGTTAAACCCTATATTTAAAGCATGGACTTACTCATACCAGCGTTTTTAAAAGTACTGAATAGCTAAACCAACAGAAAATAGGCCCAAGGATGAGTTCTGTAGACTAATTTCTATGTCATATTGAGAATTTTTAGGACAAAAAACATAAAAAACCCTTCTAAGTGCAAAATTCAATCCATAGATGCTCTGTTAAATTGATTAAATATATCTAACTGTGTAAAGAATAAGTCATTTGGAATCTAGAGAACAGGGAGGTACATACATCAAGTATTAGTAATGCAAACACTAAACTGCTGGGTATAGTCCGTATAGAATCCAGGTATAGTCCATATAGAACCAAGGTGAATGTTAGTGAACAGACACTGGTTATATACAACATGATTTTAAAATCACTATATTAAGAAAAAGGACATACTCATATGTTGCACAAAGCAAGCAAACAAACAAACAAACAAACTATATATACATATATATATATATATGTATATATATATATACACACACACGTGTGTGTGTGTGTGTATGTGTGTGTGTGTGTGTGTATTTGGTTAATTGACCAGGCCTGTCAGTCTACATTTATTTAAGGATGGGCAGAAATGCAAAGGATTTATCATCTTGAAGTTCAAAAAGCCCTCTTAGATTACAGTAACATTTTCCTGCTCCTTCGTGTGTTATGAAAATAAACGTTATCAAGAAGATAAATTTTATCTCTAGAAGTCAAATTCTATCCTTAGGCTAATTCTATGCATAGGAAAAGAACAAAACCTGTCCATACTCTAATAGCATTAACAATGTGTTTCTAGCTAAGTGTGCTCAAAGTCACGTGAACTATTATGAGTGCACTTTCAGAAACATAAACAAATTTTCTGTAAGATAATTCATTTTCTCCCTAGTAGAATACAGAGCATTCCACCCTTGTTTTCTTTTTTAAATGTGAATCAAATTTATGTTAACGGTTATTAATATATTTCCGGTACTCCATTTATTTTGTTGCAGAACAATATTCTGAAGAGTTAAAAAATTCTAAAGTTTCTTTTATAAACTTTAAATTTTGTTACAAAAATGAAATTTGAATTTGACCTTTAAGTTTCCTGCAAGCATCCAGTGCTGAAGACGTTACTTAGCAGTATCAATTTTGCAGCTACATCCACACAGTTGGGCAGCCTGTTTGCTTTGTTTTGGAAGAGATTTAAAATTAAATTCAGGACAGCATTCTATACCACAATGCAGCAATGCATAAAATGGGATTTGGCTTGCTTCTGATCTTATTAGATAAAGGCTACCAGAAGGTTGTGCAGTAGATGAACCTACCTGGATATAAAAGGACCATGGTTCTCCAAACGCTTCCCCTCCCACACCAGTGACAACAGTGGTGTCTACTGTGTGTCAGCGGATTGCAGCAGACTCTCAGAAAATACCCTAACAATTTGTGCAGAAATGAGAGATTGTCCTGTTTTAGAACAGACCATGAGATATGCATAGCTTGTTTTTTTTGTTGTTGTTGTAGTTTTTTTCCCCTCACAATATACCTATTGCTATGCAAAACAATACATTCTTTAAATACTGATCACAGGATCACTGGATAGATCAAATATTGATACTTAGAGAATGGTATGAGCTAGTCTGACTATGAAATTTGAAGTAGTTAGGCTTGGAGCACTTAAAGCCACTGGCAGCTCCTGGGATAACATATAGAGATGCACCACAGTTGCACACACTGAAATTTTCCTTGGGAAAACTTTGGAATGAATAAGTGTCATCTTAGTCACAGAATTACTGCATGCACCATATTTGCTGATCGCACTGCAGTACTACACAGTTCTCTCATCTTGGGTCTAAGCAGCCTGACCAAAGTCACCACGTGTTAGGGCACTGACTCGCAACTATGTTTGCTGGTATATTCTGTCTTCTCCCAAGCAGTTTTCATTAGATCATTTCATTTTTAGATCAGGAACAGAAGTTGAGGGAATCATAAAGCTGAGACTGCAGGCACACAGGACTGATGCTAATGTACAGAAAGAGAAGAGCTCAGTTTAGCTACCACTCAGAAGAAAACACTTGCATTTTTCTTGTTTTGGTTTCGCATGAAGTCATTACAACACTAGTGTTTTGCAAATAGAGCCCTTGAAGCAGCTGAAGGCGAGGTACAGTTGTAATACTGCTTATTCCTTCATGAAATTTGTTTACATACTCATACCAGCTTAAGGAACCAAAGAGGACACTGCAATTACAGTGCAACCCACCACAGCTGCTAGGTCCCCGGAGAAGGCACAGACGCACTGGCTGACAGCAGATGGCAGTGCGGACGCACTCACCAGCCTTCAACCTGCTCCCAAAACTCCTTCTTCCAACCAGTCTGTCGGAAGGTACTGTTCGGCATACTTGTATTTTAAGCTTTTAGAATAAAAACGTTCACAGACTCATATATGCAGACAGAATTCTTTACGTTTTCCTAGAACTGTTTCTTTCTTCAGCTCTTTCAAGCCTGTAACATTGCATTATGGAACATTATGCAGCTGAAACTTGTGATGAAAACGGTAAATTTTGCCTTGGGTGTAGGTGATGGTAGTAATCTTTTTTTGATAAATAGATTTAGAACTTTCCACAGTGAGACCCCCGATGTTCATTAAGACATTTGAACAGAATATTCACTATTACTCAAAACTAAGACTCTGATTTAAAAAAAAAAGGCTTAATCTCAACATTCAATTCTGAAATCATAGTTTTGCTCAAAAATTTCATGCCTCCATTATTCATGCACAATTAAATAGATATCAGAATGGTATAAATGTAATTGGTTTCATAAAGCCATCATTAAGCAGCTAAATGTAATGCTTAATATAAATGCATGAATTTCAACCTTTTTTCTTCTATAAATGAGATGTATTGGTTTCATCATTCTCTCTTTCCAGATCCCAAATCCCTAAATACATATTTGTTTACACATATACATATGTAGCTTTACATAGCAATATGAATCCATATTTCTTTTGACTCTGTAAACTGATACAGCATTGAAAAGACAGTGAGCTAAAATATACAGTGACACCCCTTCACAGTATTGAAGAAGCTGCTCTTTACAGAACCTGCAAAGGTGTGAAAGCTGTGTAAAGACCAACACTGACTTTCACATAATAACATGCTGCTTTCCCCTGCAAAAGTTACATCACATGTCAGAATTTTTAAAATTGTTGTTTTAAAAAGTAAAACCAAAATGACCTTCAATAATACGAGTCTGCTCTTAATGTGCCAAGTCCTTAAAGCCAAAAAAAACGCGTTGAATTTTTTTATGCATCTCTCAGTTGTGGTGTCAATGTAGCTTTTCCCAAGAAGAAAAAGTGAGTCAAAGTAAGATTTTCTTCCTTATCCTTCTCTTTTTCAAAGGAAAATTTTTCGGGGGAGATTTTTCACCAGTCCCATAACTTCTCCATCCCACATGCATGCAAGGTCACTGTGGAGAATCATTTTGTATTCAACCCACTTTCTTCATTGCTTTTTGATAATACTAGTGATTTGCCCTTTGTCCTGACTTCAGAGATTATTGTTTACATTCATGAACTATTTTCTCCTCAAACCAATATGTTAAAGGGCCCTATGGAGTTATTTTACTCTTAAGTGTGGTCATTCTGAGTTAATGATCTAGCCTTATGTAATCAGTGCAGTGAAATTGCTTTTATCTATAGATGTGCAGAGATGTAGCAACACGGTCCTCTTTGTATTGTACTCTGCGTATGCTTGAGTGCTATGCCCCAACAACTCAAGAAAAGTTGCTTATTTGCAGAGGAACTGATGGCTATCAGAAATGTCAACTGCATTATATTTATCCTATAATGTTTCCAAATCAGTCATGCAGTTTTGCCTGCCACTGCAACGTCTGTATTCCAGGAGGTTCAGTAGAGCAGATCCCCTACCACATTTATTAAACCAACAAAATCCATAGATAACACACAAAAAAGCATGATTGTATTATTAAACCCCTTGCGAGATTTATTGCAATCCCTGATTTGACTAA